GGCTGGGAAAACGTCAGTATATATGCAGAAAATAGGGAGGTGGGTGGAGTAGGGACTAGCCACTGTCACTTCTGAGGAAGGGTCTAGGCCTGAAACGTCAGCCTTCCTGCTCCTCTGATGCTGCTTGGCCTGCTGTGTTCATCCAGCTCTACACCTTGTTATCTATTGAGAAACAGGATGGCTCATTGAAATGTAGTGTTTCAAAATGAACAGAAGGCATATTTGAAATTATTTAATTATTGTGCTGAATTAACAATCACAAACATGGATGTTTACTCTTGTTTGTTTAATAGTCTTGCCATTTTCATCTGTGGATATTTTTGATGCAATCATTTGTGGTTCTAAAATTAAAAACAGAAAGAACTATGGATGCTGTAAATCAGAAACAAAAAACAGAAGTTGCTACAAAAGCTCAACAGGTCTGGCAGCATCTGTGAAGAGAAATCAGAGTTAACATTTTGGGTCCAGTGACCCTTCCTCAGAACTGATGATAACTAGGAAAATGTTAGTTTAGTCGCAAAAGATAGGATGGTGGGGAGCAGGTAGGGAGTAAGTGATAGGTGGGTATAGAGCACAGAGAGAGAGAAAACAGTTGGACAGACAGAAGTGGATAACAATCTGGCTGGGAGAGTGAATAGCCATTAATGGAGACTGTTCGTGGCTAACGATAGAATCATAGAATCCCTACAGTGTGGAAATAGGCCATCTGGCCCAACATTCCACACCGCCTCTCTGAAGAGCATCCCACCCAGACCCATTCTCCTACATTTCCTATGTCTAACCCACCCAACCTAAACATCCCTGGGCACTATGGGCAATTTAGCCTAGCCAATCCACCTACCCTGCACATCTTTGGACTGTGGGAGGAAACCCACACAGACACAGGGAGAATGGCAACTATCTGTGTGGAGTTTGCACAAAGGCTGGAATCAAACTTGGGTCCCTGGCGCTGGGAGGCACCAGTGCTAAACACTGAGCCACCGTGCCACCCTCAATAGGTAGTGTGTAATGACAGACTGTGATAACAAGGCCTGGTGTTTGGGGTTGGAAGCTAGGACATGGGAGAGTTCAGGCCCTAAAATGATCAAACTCCATTAGTCTGGAGGGCTGCAGGGTCCCCAAGCGGAAAATGAGGTGTTTTTCCAGCTTGCTCAGAGCTTCACTGGAATACTGCAGCAAACCTGAGACAGATGTTGGCCAGGGAACAGGATGGTGTAAAGTGGCAGGTAACTGGAAGCTCAGTCTTTTCTGTGGGCAGAATGTAGACGTTTTGCAAAGTGGTCACCCAGTCTATGTATCATTTCCCCCCAATGTAGAGGAGACCACATTGTGGGCAGCGAACGCAGTAGACTAGATTGTGTGGAAGGTATGTTTGGGCCCTTGAGAAGTTGTTGAGGATGCACTGGGCAGATCATTTCAGCCTGCTCCTGCCACATAGAAGTCATCTCTTCCTACCTTGAATTGGTCTCTTCTCCCCCTTCTAGTCCCTGCCCACTTACATTGGTGATTCTTCTGGTGTTTAAAGCCAGTTTTAGAATTTCCAGTTTGCTGGCTCCAGTCACCTCCTCTTTACCTTGGACATGCAATCCTTTTACATGTCCATCCCCCACCAGGATGGTCTCAGGGCTCTCCGTTTTTTCGTGGAGCAGAGGCCTAAACCACCCCTATCCACCACCATCCTCCTCTGCTTGGCAGAGCTGGTCTTCACCCTCAACAACTTCTCTTAACTCTTATCATTTTCTTATGTCAGAGGGGTAGCCATGGGTACCCGATGGGCATAACCAGGGCCAGTCTCTTCGTGGGATACGTGAAACATTCTCTGTTCCAGTCCTATTCTAGCCCCTACCCACAACTCTTTCTCCAATATATTGACGGCATCAGTGTTGCTTCCCTCTCCTCATCCGGAGATGAGAAAGTTCATCAAATTTCACTTCTAATTTCCACCACACCCTCAATTTCACCTGGTCGCTCTGACTCCTCCCTTCCTCAACATCTGTTTCCATTTCTGGGGGAATAGACTGACCACTAACATCCACTATAAACCCACTGACTCCCACAGCTATCTGGACTATACATCCTGCCTCCTGTAAAGACTCCATTGCATTCTCCCAGTCCCTCTGTCTCAGTCGCATATGTTCCAATGAGGCCAAATTTGACAAGGGAGCCTCTGGAACATCTGCCTTTTTCCTCAACCGAGGATTCCCTAGTACTGTTGTTAACAGGGCCTTCATCCAGGTCCCACATTTCTGCTCTCAACCCTTCTGTTCCCTCCCACAACAGCGGTAGGGTTCCCTTTGTCCTTACCTACCAGCCCACCAGCATCCATATCCAGAAGACTACCAGCCACCATTTCCACCACTTCCACTCCCCTCCCTTGTCAGCCTTCCACAGGGACTGTTCGCTCCAGGGCACCCTGGTCCACTGTTCCTTTGTTCCCAACATCCCCACAGCACCTGCCCCTACAACCGCTGAAGGTGTAAAACCTGTCCATTTACTTTCCCCCTCGTCAGTATCCAAGGGCCCAAACATACCTTCCAGGTGAAGCAGCACTTCACACAATCTAGTCTACTGAATTCGCTGCTCAGAATATGGTCTCCGCTACATTGGTGAAACGAGGCATAGACTGGGTGACTGCTTTGCAGAACACCTACGTTCTGCCCACAAAAAACTCTGAGCTTCCATTTGCTTGCTGCTTGAACACACCACCCCGTTTCCTGGCCAACATCTCTATCTCAAGCTTGCTGCAGGGTTCCAGCAAAGCTCAGCACAAGCTGGGAGAACAACACCTCATTTTCCACTTGGGGACCCTGTAGCCCTCAAGACTCAATAATCGAGTTCAATAATTTTAGGGCCTGAGTTCTCCCACACCCTAGCCTGAAACATCACACACCAGGCCTTGTTATCACAGTCTGCCATTACACACTACCTATTGTTAGCCACTAACCGTATCCATTAATGGCTATTCACTCTCCTAGCTAGATTGTTATCCACTCCTTTGTCCGTCCAACTGTCTTCACTCTCTCTCTCGGCTCTATCCCCACCTAGCATTTACTCCTTACCCGATCCCCCCCACCCTATCTTTTGCATGTAAACGGATATTTTCCTAGCTATCATCAGTTCTGAGGAAGGGCCACTTGACCTGAAATGTTAACTCTGATTTCTCTTCACAGACGCTGCCAGACCTGCTGAGCTTTTCCAGAAACTTCTGTTTTTGTAAGTTGCGGTGGTTAGGGTGTGTTAAAACTGTTGGGTGGAAATACACCAAGTGCTTCAGTTTCATTTTCCAGGAGTCAAAAAAAAAGCTTCACGTGTGGAATAAGGAATAAAGCAGACTTTAAAAGATAGGTTAATGTGCTCTACATACTAAGCGATTGAGCATAATAAGCATTGTTACTTACCCAAAATAACAAAACCATCTACCTCCTCATCTTGTGCACTTTTCTTGGATGACTCCGTGCTCTTTTGAATTCCGAAAAATTTCAGCATTTCACTCTACAAGGCTGAAAGACAAATCCGTAAACATTGAACTGAAAGACAAGCACTACTATAAAATGAAGAATTATTTGTCTCTCAATCATAGGTTATCCTTCCTTGAAAAGTAGAAAAAGCACACAATTAATAACTTTATTTGTTTAAAGAGAGAGAGAGGCTAAATTGACTACTTTAAAACTTTTTAAAAATTCTGTCATGGGATTTGACCATAAATCAGCAAAGTGGTATTTGCTATCCACCTCCAAGGATGGAATCTACTAGAATACTAATATTTGGTTTGAGTTTTTGTTTCAAGACAATGACAAAAGTTGTGATGGCAACTCTGCATCACTCTCAGTAAAAGCAATAGATATTCTGCATGGGAAGATATATGCACAAAACTCCAGATGAACAATTTTCAAAAGCTAACTTTAAAAAAACAAAACAAACTGGAGGTCTCCTTTGATTTCTGTGTTTCAAAACCATGCAATCAAATCTAAAAGTGTTGCACGCAATTAGAATCATAGAATCCCTACAGTGTGGAAGCTGGCTATTCGGCTCATTGTGTTCACATAAACCCTCCAAAGAGCATCCCATTCAGATTCATCCCCGACCCTATCCCTGTTTTTCCCATGGCTAATCCACATAACCTACACATCCCTGGGCACGATAGACAATTTAGTATGGCCAGTCCACCTAATCTGCATATCTTTGAACTGTGGGAGGAAACTGGAGTACCTGGAGGAAACCCACGTAGACACAGGGAAAAGCATGCAAACTGCACACAGATAGTCATCGAGTTGTACAGCATGGAAACAGACCTTTCAGTCCAACTCATCTCTGCTGACCAGGTGTCCTAAATGAATCTAGTCCCATTTGCCAGCATTTGGCCCATATCCCTTTAAACCCTTCCTATTCACATACCCATCCAGATGGCTCTTAAAAGGTTATAATTCTATCAACTTCCACCACTTCCTCCAGCAGCTCATTCCACACTTGCATCACCCTCCATGTGGGAATGTTGTCCCCCAGGTCCCTTTTATATCTTTTCCCTCTCACCTTAAAACCTATCCCCTCTACTTTTGGACTCCCCTACCCTGCGGAAAAGGCCTTGGCTATTCACCCTATTCATGCCCTCATGATTTTGTAAATCTCTACAAGATCACCTCTCAGCCTCCGATACTCCAGGGTAAGTAGCCCTAGCCTATTCAGCCTCTCTCTATAGCTCAAAATCTCCAACGCTGGCAACATCCTTGTAAATCTTTTCTGATCCATTTCAAGTTCACAACATCCTTCCTAAAGCAGAAAGACCAGAACTGAATACCGTATTCTAGAAGTGGCCTAAGCAATGTCCTGTACAGCCGCAACGCGACCACCCAACTCCTATACTCAATGCACTGACCAACAAAGGCAAGCATACCAAATACCTTCTTCACTATCCTATCTACCTGCGCACTCCAAGGTCTCTGTTCAGCAACACTCACCAGGACCTTACTATTAACTGAATAAGTCTTGCCCTGATTGGTCTTTCCAAAATGCAGCACCTCATATTTATCTAAATTAAACTCCATCTGCCATTCCTCAGCCCATCTGATCAAGGTTCCATTGTACACCAAGGTAACCTTCTTCACTGTCCATGACGCCACCAATTTTGGCGTCATCTGCAAGCTTAACAACCACGCCTCCTTATGTTCATATCCAAATCATTTACATAAAGACAAAAAGCAGTGGACCCATCACCCATTCTTGCGGCACACTGTTGGTTATGGCCCTCCAGTCTGAAAAGCAACCCTCCACCACCACCCTCTGTCTCCTATCTTCAAGCCAGTTCTGTATCCAAATGGCTCATTCTCCCTTTGTTCCATGTGATCTAAACTTGCTAGCCAGTCTACCATGTGGAATCTTGTCAACCACTTTAGTGAAGTCCATATAAATCATGTGCAACATTCCACCTTCAATCCTCTTTGAAGAAGTAACAAAAGAAAACTCAATCAAGCTGTGAGACACAATTTCCCCACACACAAAGACATGTTACTATCCCTAATTCGTCCTTGCCTTTCCAAATGCAAGTAAATCCTGTCCCTTAGGATCTCCTCCAACAGCTTACCCATCACTGATACAAGGCTCACTGGTCTATAGTTCCCTGGCTTTTCCTTACTGCCTTTCTTAAATAACTGCACCATGTTGGCCAACCTCCAGTCTTCTGGCACCTCACCTGTGGCTATCAATGTTACTAATCACCCAAAAAGGTGGAATCAAACCACGGTCCCTGGCACTGTGAGGCAGCAGTGCTAACCACTGAGCCACCATGCCGCAGTAATGGTATCATCTGTACAAAGCTGATGTTACAGGTTAAATCTCTTTCACGTAAACTTCAATTATAACATTATATTATTGCTAAGTGGCTCTTAAGTATGGAAACATTTTGCTTATTAAGCTTTCTCCTCATTTGAATTGAATGATTATTCATTGTAAAATGCAAGTGGCCATACAGCAAAATACAGTGAAGAGCTTCAACTTTCGCCACAATCCGGCGCCATTTTGAATATTTTAAGCAGTCAAGAAGATATAACCGAAAGAGAGTCTATATTCATTTCACCATCTCCACCACAGGTCGGGTCAGCTCATCAGCGACACCTGCACCACCACTTCTTCTCCACTACCTATGCCAGATGCACCAACATAGGAGTCACCGCACTTTAGGCGCCATTTCTTCGCCGCTGGGTCCACCTTGCTGAGGCCACTGCCAAGTCCCACGCTAAATCCACACTTCCCTTGCAACCAGGTGTCCTCTGCTCTACTGCCACCGTGGTGCTGATAACAAGGAGTCCCTGCTCTGGGCCTACTATGACCACAACCAGGGGTCTCTGGTTCCACATGAGGCGGCTCTGGCTCAAACATGAGGTTCTACCCATCCCCAATGTTATGAAAGCTGAGTCTGACCACATCATGAAACTCTCCAAGCAGATGGACCATACTGTTCCAGTTGCACCTTGTGGAGATATTGATGCACAAAAACACTTTTGACCACAAGTCCATCAAAGTAGTGGTCAACATGTAATATCCTTGAAGCCCTGCAGGAAAAGGAGTAAGTAGATCCTGTGGAATGCTCTCCAAGACTGTCAAAGTCATTTGGCAGAATGCCTCATCACCTGAACCTACAAAAAAAAGCACAAAGATTTAACTGGGCTGGTGGTGAGAAAGGTCATTCCCATTTCAATGTCCAGGACTATGTACCGAGAGACAAATTAAAGTTTGGGCAGCCATCGCACAGGTGAAACGGGGAAAGATTGTTGTCTAAGGCCTATCAGACATAATACGAGGAAGGGTTGGAAACTCCAAAATCTCTTGAGCTGCCTGCCCCCACTAAGAATGTATGTTATAAAGCAAGAATACCAAAAAAAAACGTACTGAGCCGTCAGAGAGTGAAACACTTTGTGTAGACGAATTTATATATATTGCACTTTCTGCAATTTTGAATTTGAAACGATTTGACCTTAGGGTGCATACTTGACATGGATGTGTTTTGTAAATTGTTATTTAAGAGAAAAAAAAAAATCACTGTTAAAATCAAATCACAGAACATATTGCCTTTGGATATATTGAAATTTCTTGCAAATCTTGTAACATTCAAACCAAAATGCTTCTGCATACATGTTTTATGAATAAAGTACACTTTGGGAAAAATAAGATTTTGGAAATGTCCCATCGTACTGGAAAGTAACACCTCTGCTTAAGAAGGTAGATTAGCAAAAAAAAAGACAAAATGATCAGCCAGTTAACTTGATATGTGCTTTGTTAAAAGTTGTTAAAACAAATCATTAAGGAAGTTGGGCACTTAGAAAAGCTCATTGTATCTGCAAGGAGTCAGAATGATTTTGTGAAAAGGAAGTCATGTTCAACCAACTGACTGAAGCGCATTTGAAGGACTAAGATGCGCTATGGACAAAGAGGAGCCCTTTGATATAATGTACATACATTTCCAGAAGGTATTTGATAAGGTACAATGTGAAAGATGATTGTGTAATTTAGCTCAGATGAGAGGACAGGGCAATATATTAGTAAGCATTGAAGATTTCCTGGCTGGCTGGCAGAAAACAGAGTATACATAAATGGATCTTTTTTTCTCTGACAGGACGTGGCAGGTGGAGTTCCACAAAGGTCTGTGGTAGATCTCAACTTTTTATAATTCATATCAGTGACCTGGATGTGGCAAGAGAAGTTGTGGTAGCCAAATTTACAGATGGCACAAAAATAGGTAGGAAAGTATACTGTGAAGAGGACACAAGGGAGAGGTACACAGATTTGGATAGGTTGAATGACTGGACAGATTAAGTATAATGTGGGAAAACGTGAAGCTATTTATTACAGCAAGAAGAATTTTAAAAAAGCAGACTATTAATTTGGGAAACACACAAAATTCCAAAATGCAGAGATTTTTAAGTGGTGGAAGGCATGAGTCCCAAAATATCAGTATGCAGGTACAACAGATAATTATGAAGAATAATTGAATTCTTCTCACAATGGATAGCATTCTAACTAAAAGAAAGAAAAAGTTATGCTTCTGTTTAAAAGGGCATTGGTGAGACATCATCTTGATGACACAGTATTAGTCTCATTTATAGATGGATATAAATTCATTGGAGGCAGCACGCAGGAGATTTTAGACTGGCAACTGGAAGGTGTTGAAAGATTGGACAGGCTGGGCTTATTTCCACTGGAGTGAGGGATGACTTGTTTGAAGGACACAGCATACTGTATAGTCTTGACAAGGTGAACATTGATTGGATGTTTATTTTCTTGTGCTAAACTCAGTGGCACTGTTTTGAAATGAAGCATTTCCCTTTTAGAACAGAGATGAGGAATTTGTTTTTTTACAAACTGCTGAGAAAAAAATGGAACTCTCTGCCACAGATAGTCATTGTATATTTTTAAGATGTAGGAATATAGGTATTTGATAGGCAAAAAATTGAAGGATAATTCTTCTATATTCCAACGAGTACACACTTGATCTACTCAACCTCTCCCCATAAGACGGTACCTTCATGCCTGGTACCGCTCAAGTGAATCTTCTCTGCATTGAGTACAATGTCAGTATATCTTTCCTTAGATAAGAGGCCCAAAACTGTTCACAGTATTCCAGCTGTGGTCTGACTAATGCCTCGTATAGTTTGAGCAAAACCACTCTACTTTTATATTCCATTCCCTTTGAAATAAGGCCAACATTCCATTTGCTTTCCCTATTACCTGAACTTGAATCCATGCAAGATTTTGAAATCTATGGACAAGGATTTCCAAATACCTCTTTTCTGTAGCCTTCTACAATCTTTCACCATTTAATATTCAGCTCCTCTATTATTTCCCCAATGTGCATTACCTCACATTTCCCCACATTATATTCCAGTTACCAAGTTTCTTCCCCACTGGCTTATCTATATCCCTCTACAGATTTTTTTTTTGGGTCACTCTCACCACTTGCCTTCCCACCTATTTTTCTGATATCCACAAACTTGGCTATAGGACATTCACTTTCTCCACTAAGTCATCTATATATTGTAAGTCATTGTGGCCCAGCACTGATCCTTGAAGTACACTACTAGTCACAGGTTGCCATCCTGAAATTGCTCCCCCACCCCAACCCAATCTTCTATCAGTTAGCCAACCCAGAGTAGCTCACTATCTCCTACACCAGGGGCTTTTAGCTTATTAAGTAGTCTAATGCACGGTACCTTCTCAAGCACTTCTGACAATCCACATAATTTACATCCACTGCTTCCCTTTATCTATTCTGCCTCTTACCACCTCAAAAGAATTTTAGTAAATTTGTCAGGCATGACTTCTCCATCATGAAGCCATGCTGACTCTACTGGATCATATTGTACATGTCTAAATGCTCTGCTATTACATCATTTGTAATAGTTTCTAACATTTTACTATGATATCATTTATTAAAACTGCCTCATTACAGCTCACCAGATTGAAAATAGCATGGATCCATGATTGCATCTACTACATATTGTTCTAGGAAACTATCCAGAAAACACATGAATTGATTCCTCTGCCAATCTGACTATCCCAATCTACATGAATATTAAAGTCATCAAAGATTAATCTGTTGTCTTTGCTACCTGCTCTCATTATTCTCTGTTCTGCATGTAGCTAATGTTAGCAGTCCAATTACTACTCCTACCGGTGTCCTTAATCCAATTTATTTCCGACCTCCAACCATCTTTGGTTCAAGATCGTTTCTTGCTGTCACACATCTTCAATCCCATACAAACAATGCAACCCCATCGCTCTTTCCTTCCTGCCTATGCTTTCAAAAAGGCACATAACCCTGAATATTTAGCTTCCAAGTTTGATCTCCTGGTATTCATGTCTCCATAATGTTTATAAAGGTCATATCTACAAGCCCGTATTTGTGCGATCAATCATTTATTTTGTTCCGAATACAGCATGCATTAAAGAGCCATTCAGTTTGCCTTTTTATCTTTTTTTCCCCCTTTTAACCCTATTTACTGGCATTTTTTCTGTATTTGTTTGTTTGTTTTGCAGTGCTCCTGTGAAGTGCTTTAGGAAATTTCATTGCTAAAGCCATTCTATAACTTGTTCTGAAGAATCGCCTATCATCATCTTCTTCAAGATTAAAATGCATTCATTATGTTTTCTTTAATTTAAAAGACCTGATCTCACCAAAAGACAGAGCTTGAAGATAATATAGCTCAAATCCGTAGATATTTAAAATTCTGACTTACTCAAGAAACTGGTCGCGGGATGAGTAAGGGTGCTCAGCGTTCACAAGGCAGTTCTTAAACAGCGCATACAAAAACGCTGGGTCACCAAAACAATTTCACACGAAACCCAAAAAGAAGACGAGCATAGCTACAAGTGCACACCTACTGGGTCACGGTCACATACTCATTCTGGGGCGGACGGTTGGTTTTAACGTTCCCCGGGCCGGGCTCGAGCGCGACCTTCTGGAACCCGTCACGTGAGCGGGGCTGATAACACAGCCCAGGCTCAGCGGAGCCTTCAGTATCTGCGTCAGTCTGACTGATTGGGACAGCATCCACTCACGGTGCTCTCAAATGTTTAGAGGCGGGACCACAAATTGGGTTGACGACACTGGTAGTAGTCTATTAGACAGCTAAGACAACAAGGTGCAGGGCTGGATGAACACAGCAGGCCAAGCAGCATCACAGGAGCAGAGAGGCTGACGTTTCGGGCCTAGAAGTCAGCTCTGCTCCTATGATGCTGCTTGGCCTGCTGTGTTCATCCAGCCCTGCATCTTGTTGTCTCGGATTCTCCAGCATCTGCAGTTTCTACTGTCTCTATTAGACAGCTAACATGAGCTACATGCGGAACAGAGACTAATCAGGAGCTAATGAGAGCATGTAGCGATGACAATCTCTTTAAATTTTGCGCCGTTATTTGCACCATGATTAATTTAGAAGGATAGGTAGGAGGTTTAGAGGGGACTTGATTTTTTTTCCACCCAGTAGAGGGTAGTGATTTGGAAGGCACTACCTGTGAGGGTAGTTGAGGCGGGTAACCTCACAGTACTTGGATGCACACTCAAAGTGTCATAACTTTAAGGCTATGGGCCCGGAAAGTGGATGAGTGTAGATTTAGTGTATTTTTCTCAGTACAGACTCGATGGGCCGAACAGCCTCTTTTGTATTGTATGATTCTAAGGTGGACGTGTACTGTCCTACCAGCGATTATAACGGACTGATATCAAGGACAGTGAAGAGACAATAGCTGTGTCAAACGTCAGCACTGATTTAACTTGCTCCTGTGTCATTTCCATGCAAACATCATCAATTATGATATTAAATCCCCGTTGTGCTAATGTTTGTAAAGCGCGCCCCAATTAAGAATTTTATGACGGCTCAAGGGAAATTATTCTACAGTTTCTTAGGAATCCTGACAATTGGTAAACTGCCCTTACATAAATTATATTTTGGAACAAGGTTTTTTTTTCAAATCGCTGTCTCGTAACTTTTCCAATCTACCAACAATAATGTGGCTTTTAACCTATTATTTCACACTAATTCTCTCTCCTCGCCAAGTAAATGCTTCAACATTTTGCTGGAAGACATTTACACTGGACGCAGTCCTGTGTAGCCATTGAATTCCGACACAGTAGGCATACCGCTGTGCCATAAAGCACATCACAGGGGAATCCTTTTTTGACCTTTTTGATGTGGTTTATCACTATATTCAAAGAGAAACCTTGGCTAATTCTCTTCCAGGGTCAGTGAGTCTATTTGAAATTTCACCCAGTGATCAATTGATAACGCCAAATATACAACAGAAGGGTCACGGGACTCCAAATGTTAATTCTCTTTTCTTTCTCCAGATGCTGCCAGACCTGCTAAATTTTTCCAGCAATTTTTGTTTTTTTCTTTCAGATATAGAACCCCCTCGGTTATGCGAAATAGTACCATTGGAATAGGTATAAGATTCGTTCGATACCGTCAAAGGACGCAGAAACACAACTGTCGAATGATATTAGGATTAATTGCAATCCGGAACAGTATTCGTGTGTTCATAGCGCAGGGGATTGTGTTCGACGCCGCACAGGCTCCAGGTGGAAGTGACTGCGGAAAGAACAGTTAACGTTTCCCGCCAAACAGCGGGAGGTTCGTGGCTTCCGGGTAAACACAAGGAGGAGTAAATGGCGGACGATCTGGAGGGTCCACGCACGAGGATTAACACGAGCCTGGTCTCGCGGTTCACCGGGAGGGCCGTTTGTTTCGTGGGCAGAGTTCAGAAGGTAGCAGGAAATCAGCAACTGAAGGAGCACTCAGTTAACCGGCCCGCCTGCCTTTCCCCTCCGTGTCACCTCCTTCCTCAATGATCCCTCCGCTCCTTCCTTCCTTCAGTGTTCCCTTCTATGTCCATCTCTCAGTGCCTCCTCTCAGTGTACCCTTTCATTTCTGTCCCTTGGTCAATGTTTGCTCCGCTCTCCCTCCCTCACTGTACCTTTCCTCCGTACCGTCCACCTCGCTCACATCCTCCCTAGTCCCCATTCACAAAACATACTGCCACTTCTCCCCGCCGACACTCCTTCCTGATCCCCCCTCTTCTATGCTTTTCCCCTTCAACTAAATTAGGGCAAATAATTTTGTTCAATAGTAGTGTTCCTAGGATCAGGAAAGATTGTTTTATTACCACATATTACTATGTATTGTCCACTAAACAAATATTTGTGATTTTTGTTAATTAGGTTCATCCCTCTGGGACCTCCTTTGTTCTGTCAGATGGTGATGGGAAGAATGTAACAGTGGAAATGACTGATCCAGTAAGTGAATTTTAAAAATGAGTGCAATATTAGAAACACCCTGACATGCATAGTTACTGCATGCCAGACTGATTTGTTTTTATGAAAGTTTCTTTTTAAATTCCAAAATAAAACAAAGAACTGCAGATGCTGCAAAATCTTCAACAGAACAGAACAGAACGTGCCAGGGAATTTCAGTAGGTCTGATTGTATTTTCTCTCCACAAATGCTGACAGATCTGCTGTGTTTTTTCCAGCATTTTCTGTTTTTGCTTAAACAAAACAGCACTCTTTGACAGAGATAGTAGGAACTGCTGAAGCTGGAGAACCTGAGATAACAAGGTCTAGAGCTGGATGAACACAGCAGGCCAAGCAGCATCAGAGGAGCAGGAAAGCTGAGATTTTGGGTCTGGACCCTTCTTCAGAAA